GTGATTCCCAGCTCATTGTCGGACAAATTACAAGGGAATTCGATGCCAAGGAAGACACAATGCGGGCTTACAAGGATATTGCACTCCCCTTTGCTCGCCTCTTCAACACTTTCCACATCATGCACATCCCTCGGACGAAAAACTCCAAGGCAGATGAAATGGCTCAATTACCTTCTGGTGACCAGTCAGACCTCAGCCACGGTGTCCGCCTCGAGTACCTGACTCACCCTGCCATTTCCCCAAACCAACAGCAAGTCTACTTTCTCCAAAACGAACCTATCCCCTAGGCGGCCGATATCTCTCTCTTCTTGACAACGGGAGAACTGCCCGCCGACAAACAGCAGGCCGATAAGTAGACAATTTGGTAACGGTAAAGCTTTGCCACAATTGTTAATGTCGAAATCACTTTAGTGGATCATAAATTTTTTGCTTTATTTTTTTAAGCATTGTATTCGATGAATACTTGATTGCAGTCATTATCATGGTTGCTCAATCAACTAGTATCAGCACCTTCGAAGCCACTGTGGACAATTCTTGAAGGCATCGGATCTATTTTTTTTTCTTTTGCAAATATACGCACTAGTTTCATGCATCTCTTATCTGATCCAAATCACATGTGCAATCATATATGCTCACCTTGCTTTTCACAAATTTCACTGTCTTATCACCTATATGTTTCCATGTATGGTCTACCTTATTAATGGAAAATTATTTACCAGACGTATTTCATCATTTCATTAACTAAATTCCTTTGGGTAACCTTGGTAATTCATGTTAGAAAATAAACTGTGCATGGTTCATCTTGATTCTTGAATTTTACTTGTAATCTTCAAGGTACTCGGTCTAACAAGACAGATCTGAACCAGGAGACAATGTTCTTCAGTTGGGCCACTTTTAGATCTCCATTCACTTGTGTAATTAGTGTTTAAAATAAATACACTATAACTCATTGAAATAATATTACACAGTATTTCCCTAGACCAGAAGAGTCTTAATTGTATAATTATTTCAATGGACAGTAAGATGATATTGGAGTCCCAGACCTTAAGAAGAGATCTAGTCAATTAAGGCTCTATAGAACCATTTATTCTCTATAATAATTGTCAGTATTTAACAATCATATTAGAGATGAATGTTTCTGCTAGTATTTAAATTCTCTCACATTTTCACAATTCACCTTTAAAAAGGTTGCATGAGAACTCCTAAAAATATAAAAACATCTTCTAGATTTTTTTAAAACTGCAAAATCTTATTTTTGTCCCTACAAAACCTATATCAATTTGAATCAGTCTCTCAATGCTTGCTGAACTTTTCTTATATTACTAAAAAGTAGATTTGGTGATATTCTGTTTGATTATTTTGTTCAATAATTCTGCAGATGTAGAAGTCCCAGTTGCTTGTGTCATACTGGTATTCTTGTTTGCCCTCCAACATTACGGGACACACCGAGTAGGATTCCTTTTTGCACCAATTGTTATAACGTGGCTTTTATGCATCAGTGCCATTGGTGTATACAATATTGTCCACTGGAATCCCCATGTTTACAAAGCACTCTCTCCTTACTACATGTACAAGTTTTTGAAGAAGACCCAAAAGGATGGTTGGATGTCCTTGGGTGGGATTTTGTTGTGTATAACAGGTAAACGAGTAAAGTGAAGTGTGCTCTTTCCCATTTGCCCAAGAAGCATATTTCCTTCATATACTATGTGTTTATTTACAGGTTCCGAAGCTATGTTTGCTGATCTTGGACATTTTTCACAGTTGTCTATCAAGGTAAACTCTACTTAGTAATGTTTTCTGTTGATTACTGGAGTGCCTTAATCTTTGTGAGATGGGACTTTGTGAGAATATTTTGTGTAACTTACGACTATTATGTAAATATGGAATTAGGTTACTATGTAATTGTGGAATGCTATGTAAATATGGAATTAGGTTTGTATTTTCTATTCTAGATTAGGGTTAGGATTCCTATAAATATTGGTTGTAATCTTTGTATTATTTACAAGTTGAATATACAATTCATTCATAAATACTTACATGGTATCAGAGTTTGGTTCGAAACCCTAGCTTGCAGAGTTGAAACCCTAGTAGCCGTAACCTCTCTGTTCAGCCGTAGCCTCTCTGTTATGTCGCAACCCATCGGTTATAAATCGCGATCAATCATCGCGCCTGCTTCATCGTGTCTCTCTCAGTCCTCATCGGCTTCATCTCGGTTCATCATCGCGACTCCCTCTCGCGATTATCTGACTCTGGTTCTCTCTCTCTTTGTGGCTCTCTCTCGCGACTCTGGTTCTCTCTATCTCTTTCTCTGTGATTTGTTGTCAATGCTATTAAAATCCTTATTCTTGTTTGGCCCATTTATTAAGTTATTAGTATACTTGGCTCACTTATTAAGTTATTAGTATACTTTGACCCATTAATCTTTAGTTTATTACAATAACGGACACCAAAATTCAAGCCATCAGATGTAAACTCACTGGTGCCAATTATACTTATTGGGTTAGTGTTATGAAGAATTTCCTTCTTGGTCAGAAAAAATGGGGTTATGTTTCTGGTTCTGTTCTTCGTCCATTAGACCCAATACAAGAAGGATATTTGACTTCTTGTGACACTTGGGATTGTGATAATGTCCAAGTTCTGACCTAGTTTTATGATTGTATTGGAATGATGTTTTCCAAATACAGTACTACTAAAAAGGTGTGGGACTATTTATTGGGTGTGTATCAACAGTCCAACTTTGCCAAACAGTATGAGTTGGAAACAACGATTTAGAGTGCTTGTCAGCGGGATCAATCTATTCAGGACTTTTACATTGAGATGACAGGTCTCTGGGATCAGTTGGCTCTCATGGAACCATCTAGTCTCAAGGCACTAGACACTTATGTTGAGTTTCGGGAGCAAGGTCGTTTGGTGCAGTTCTTAACGGCTCTCTCCCCTTAGTATGAGGCTATCTGTGGTGGCATTTTTCATCGGTCTCCTCTCTCCTCTGTAGATGCTATTGTTTGTGAGCTCCTCTCTGAGGAAACCCGTCTTAAGACAGCTAGTCAGACTCTGTTTCCTTCAGTCTTCTCAGCATAGCCACCCCTATTGGCGACTCCATCTGCTTCTCAGCCTCAGTCTTCTGCCAAGCCCAAAAAGGGGCCCTTAGCATCAGATGAGTGTGCTTTCTACCATCAAAAGGGTCATTGGAAGTACAACTGTCCCAAGAAGAGCCGTCAGTCTGCTCAGTCATCTCAGCCACAGTTCTAAGGTCCTGTTTTGAGTACTTTTGCCCTTTTGCTGGTTATACTGCATCTGCTCCGGCTTCTGATCCTGACTTAGCTTCCTTGAGTGCCCAGATTGCCCAATTTCAGCATCTTTGGTCCACCTCTCAATCATCTTCCTTTGCCTCTGCTCTCACCTCTCTTTATTCAGGTTTGCTTGGGTCCTTTTTAGGTATTCCTTCCTCTGTCTGGCTTTTTGATTCTAGTGTCTTTCATCATATGACTCCTCACCTTTCCTTACTCCAAAACTATATTTCCCCTCCTGTTCCTATTATTCTTAATACTGCTAATGGGTTTGGTATGTCTATCCTATCTATTGGGTCTATTTTACCCTCTACCCTTTCTGCTGTTACTATTCTCTCTGTTCTTTATGTTCCTCAACTGTCTGTTAGCTTGCTTTCTATCAGTCAGCTTGATGCTTCTGGTTTTGATGTTATCTTTTCTTCTTTTGTCTGTTGTGTACGGGATCGAGTGTCCAAGAAGCAGATTGGGACCGGCCGCAGAGTTGGAGATCTCTATGTAGTAGAAAGCCTACATCTTCCTCTGTCTACCTCTCCTGTTGCACTTGCATCTTTTCAGTTAGATTCTAAGTCGAGTCAGTTTTATTTATGGAATTCTTGTTTAGGTCATTTGTCTGTTGATCGTTTGCGGTCTTTAACTTAATTAGGATTGTTAGGTAAAGTTTCTCCTAGTCAAATTAATGAGTGTCGAGGATGTAAACTTGTTAAAATGACAGCTTCACTTTTTAATAACAGTACTTCTATTTCTGCTTGCCCTTTTTCTCTTGTCTATACTGATGTTTGGGGCCCTTATCCTGTTCTCACTAAAGGGGTTCTGCGTACTATGTGTCATTTGTTGATAATTGTACCCGCTATACTTGAATTTATCTTATGACTCATAAATCTGACTTCTATCAGATATATTGTACCTTTTAGTCTATGATCACTATACAGTTTGGGGCCACAATTAAAATACTTCGGTCTGATTTGGGTAGGGAATACTTTAAAACTGAATTCTATGAGTATTTGGCCAACTTGGGCACCATTCACCAAACCTCCTGTACTGATACCCCTGCCCAAAATGGTCGTGCTGAGCGTAAACACCGTCATCTCCTTGAGACAGCTCGATCTCTCCTTTTCTCTGCCTCTGTTCCGGCACCATTCTGGGGTGAGGCAGTTCTTACCGTTGCTTTCCTCCTTAATCGCATGCCGACTCCCCTACTCTCCGGTTAATCCCCTTATAAGGCTCTGTATTCCCAACCTCCCAATTATTCCCTCCTGCGTGTTTTTGGGTTTGCTTGTTTTGTCCTCATTTCCCGTAAAGATCGGACCAAACTCAGTGCCTGGTCTATCTTGTGTCTTTTTGGGCTACAGTCTTACTCAGAAAGGCTACTGCTATTACGACTCTGTCTCTCGTTGCCTTTATGTCTCACCAATTGTCTCTACTCTTGTTGCTGCTCCTTCTGCTTCTGACGACTCTGATCCTGCTATACACCGTTATCCTCCTCGTGCGCGTCGTCCTCTAAACAAGTTGGGTTGGTCTAATTCATGTTTTTCTGTTTCCTATCGTACTTTTTTGTCTGTTATTCACTCTTTTTCAGAACCTTAGTCTTACAAGGAGGCCTGTTAGGATCCTTATTGGGTTCAAGCTATGGAGGATGAGTTATCTGCTTTACAGAAAACTAGTACTTGGGAGTTGGTTTCTTTGCCTGTTGGTAAGAATCTGGTTGGTTACAAATGGGTCTACAAAGTCAAGATTCATTCTGATAGTTCTCTTGAGTGCTACAAAGCTCGTTTGGTTGCCAAGGTTTCTCACAGGAGTATGGTATTGATTATGAGGAGATATTTGCTTCTGTTGCCAAGATGACTATTGTTCTGATCTCTATCACTGTTGTTCGTTCTTAGCCTCTTTATTAGATAGATGTTAAGAATATTTTTCTTAATGGCCATCTCATGAGGAGGTTTACATCCGTCCTCCCCCTGGCCTTCACCATTCCTCTGAATAGGTTTGTCACCTTCGGTGTACTCTATATGGTCTAAAACAGTCTCCTCCTGCTTGGTATGATTGCTTTCAGACTGCTGTTATCGAGCTTGGGTTTCATCCTTCTGCTTTCGACTATGCTTTGTTTCTGAGACATACCTCGACTGGTTTTGTTGCTCTCTTACTCTATGTGGATAATATGATCCTTATTGGTTCTGACTCTTCTGTTATCTTTGAGGTCAAGCAACATCTCTTCCGCACCTTCGAAATGAAGGATCTGGGTCTATTGCGGTATTTTCTTGGTATTGAGGTTACCTCTTCTCTAAAAGGCTACTTTCTGTCTCAGGCCAAGTATGTTAATGAGGTTATTCACAGTGCCGATCTTACTGATACTAAGGTTTCTGATACACCTATTGAGCTTAATATGAAGTTCAACTCTACTGATGGTGTTCCTCTGCATGATCCCACGATCTATCGCGAGCTTGTGGGCTGTTTAGTTTATTTGACTGTCACTCGCCCTGATCTTGCTTATATTGTTCATGTGGTTAGTCAGTTCGTTTCTGCTCCTCGCTCTATCAATTGGGCTGCTTTGGTTTGCATTCTTCGCTATCTCTGGGGTACCATCTTTCAGGGTTTACTATTGTCCTCTACTTCCTCTTTAGACTTGGTGGCCTATGCTGATGCTGATTGGGCTGGTGATCGTAAGTCCACCTCTGGTTTCTGTGTGTTTCTTGGCGATTCCTTGATCTCCTGGAAAAGCAAGAAACAAACTGTTGTTACTCGCTTTACTGCCAAAGCTAAGTACTGTGCTATGACTCATGCTACTGCTGAGCTTATTTGGCTTCGTTGCCTTCTCTCTGATTTGGATATCCCTCAGTCTTTTCCGACCTCTCTATTATGAAAACCGCAGTGCTATTCAGTTTGCTCACAATACTGTCTTCCATGAACAGACGAAACACATTAAGATTGATGGTCACTTTGTCCGACAGTATCTACAGTCTGGCTCTCTCTTGTTTCCTTTCGTCTCCTCGGCTTTGCAACTTGTGGACTTCTTCATCAAGACTCACACTATCACTCGGTTTCAGTTTTTTCTTAGCAAACTCTCAATATTTTCTGCTCAAACACCTTGAGTTTGAGCGGGAGTGTGAGAATATTTTGTATAACTTACGACTATTATGTAAATATGGAATTATGTTGCTATGTAATTATGGAATGCTATGTAAATATGGAATTAGGCTTGTATTTCCTATTCTAGATTAGAGTTAGGATTCCTATAAATATTAGTTGTAATCTTGGTAGTATTTACAAGTTGAATATACAATTCATTTAGAAATACTTACAGTAGATATAAATGATTTTGAGGCCTATGCTAGAAGTCTTGACCTTACAAAAGTATGCATATAATTTGACTTAATCGGCAATCATCTCTCTCTCTCTCTCGCTTAGTTGCGTAGTGGTGGTCTTCATATTTCAGCATGTACTTCTAGTTAAAATTTATCGCTCATATTAAGCTGAAGACTCTTCATTTCCTAGTTGAGGTTTTCATTTTATCTTGAATTTGTTGGTTACACTACTTGATGTACTTTTCACTAGAAGTTAAATCACTTCAAGAACAAACACATTAAAACAGAAACAACTACTGTTATTTTCTTCATTTGCCGAGAGGTATCATTCAAAGTGAATAGGTTACTTGGTTCAGGAATGCTCAAAATCAGAATGTCAATTTTTCATTTAATTGTTATTGCAGATTGCATTCACCTTTGTGGTTTACCCATCCTTGATCCTAGCATATATGGGGCAAGCTGCTTATCTTTCCAGGCATCATTCTAATGAAAGTTACTACCGGATTGGATTCTATGTATCAGTACCTGGTGGGTACTAATTGTTCCTTCTTTTTCTTTCTTTCTTTTCATATTTTGCTTGGCATATCTCACAGATACAAAGGGCAAAAATCCAAGAATTTTTTTAATTTGAGTGTTTTCTAATAGAAGTATTCATCTTCTATGTCAGAGAAAATCCGATGGCCTGTTCTGGGAATAGCCATACTCGCAGCAGTTGTGGGAAGCCAAGCCATCATCACCGGGACTTTCTCTATCATCAAACAGTGTTCTGCTCTGGGTTGTTTTCCAAAGGTCAAAATAGTCCACACATCATCCAAAATACATGGCCAAATTTACATTCCGCTCATCAACTGGACTTTAATGATGCTGTGCTTGGCTGTTACTATTGGTTTCAGAAACACGAAACACATAAGCAACGCATCAGGTACTAAAAATGTTCTTTGCCTATACAAGTAGGCTACCAGAATTTGGTTTAACAATTGTTTGAATCTTATGAATTTTATCAGTTTTTAGTCATGAATCATGATCTTTAATACAACTTCTTTTCTGGAGCAGGTTTGGCAGTTATAACTGTCATGTTGGTAACGACCTGCCTAATGTCTCTTGTTATCATCCTCTGCTGGCACAGAAATGTTTTCCTAGCCCTTTGCTTCATATTCTTCTTCGGTTCCATAGAAGCGCTCTACTTCTCAGCTTCACTCATGAAGTTCCTTGAAGGGGCTTGGGTGCCTGTTGCTCTCGCCTTCATCTTTCTAGCAATCATGTACGTTTGGCACCATGGCACGCTCAAGAAATATAAGTTCGATGTTCAAAACAAGGTTTCCATCAACTGGCTACTCGGGTTAGGTCCAAATCTTGGAATTGTTCGGGTCCGTGGCATTGGCTTAATACACACCGAGCTTGTATCCGGAATCCCAGCCATTTTCTCTCATTTCGTCACCAATCTCCCTGCTTTCCACCAAGTTTTAATCTTCCTCTGCGTCAAATCTGTCCCGGTGCCTCACGTTAGACCTGAGGAAAGGTTCCTCGTGGGAAGAATCTGCCCAAGAGAGTACCGAATTTATAGATGCATTGCACGGTATGGTTATCGTGACATTCACAAAGACGACGTGGAGTTTGAAAAAGACTTGGTTTTTAGTATTGCTGAGTTTATCCGGTCAGAGAATCCAGAATACAATGTAGATTTGGAGTGTGACGAAAAAATGACTGTTGTTGGAACTGCCTCAACAAATCTAGAAGGTATAAAGATGTGCGAAGAAGACGTAGACGAAGATTTTTCAGAACTGAGGGAGATAAGATCCCCAGAATTTCCAAGGAAGAGAGTGAGGTTTGTTTTGCCAGAGAGTCCTCAGATGAACATAACCGCGAGAAAGGAGCTGCAGGAACTGATGGAAGCGAGGGAGGCGGGGATGGCATTTATAATGGGGCATTGTTACGTGAGGGCAAAGAGGGGATCGAATTTGATTCAGAGAATTGTGATTAATATAGGATATGATTTCTTGAGGAGGAACTTTCGGGATCCAATGCATGCATTGAGAGTTCCTCATGCAACTACTCTAGAGGTAGGGATGATCTACCATGTCTAGCTTAGTTTTGATGATTATAGAGTATAGTTATGCATTCTGTTCAAAAAACAAGAGTATAGTTATGTATTCAATTTGTGTTTCTTTTTCTGCTACTGTAAATGATAGAGAGGCTTTTTGTGCTATGCTAATCCAGTGTATTTTAATTAGTTGCTTCGTTTGGGTATTGGTTTTTTCGCTTTTTAGTTATTTTAGTTTGGGGTTAAAATATCTTATTTGGAATGAGTTTTTTTATTTTTTTGACTTTCGTGAAAAAAAAAATGAAATAATTATAATTTGAATATAATATTCTGTCTTACTAATTTTTTAGTTTAGTTTATTTTATTTTTTTGTGGCTAAAATAGTCAAAAAAAACTCTCAACTCTTACATGCCAAACAAGCACTTTATTTGGATAAATTACACTAACACTCCCTAAGGTTTCTGTTTAAGACATATTCTCTCCTCACGTTTGAAAAATTACACTTATCTCTTTGTCAAATTAAAATGACATATTTATTTTTAACCTTTATACATATAAAATAATAAAATAATACTTATATTTTTTTCATGTCGCTACAAAAAATTAAGGTTTTAGAGACCAAAATTTAAGGACAAAATTATTTTTTTGGCACCAAATATTTTTGTTGCGAAAAGTGTCGTCATTATATTTTTAGCAATGAAAATTAGACATTAATGATGAATTATTATTCTTTTGGGGCCAATTTTTTGTCTCAAAAAATAAATCATTTTGAGACTAAATTATTTTGTCTCTAAAAATCTATTTATTAGTGACATTTTCAAAATTGTCGCTAAACACCTTGTTTTTTATATTTCAGGACGACATTTTAGCGACTATTCTCGTGACGATGGAAATTGGACTCTAAATGTCTTTTGCAACAAAATTTTTACTTTTAGAGATCAAAATATTTAGTCTCTAAAATCCTTATATGTTGTAGTGTGTTATTTTAAGGGAAATAACAATTATCTTTTTTTGTTTAACTCACACAAAAAATTGAGTTTTTTTTTTTCCGTATTTTTTTTATTTTTACTGAATTTTTAAAAATATTTTAAGCACCTTTTTATTTTATTTTTAGATACACTTAATCTAGATATACTTAAAAAGTATAATATTTTTTGTGATTTTTTTTTAAATTCATCAAATACAAAAAAATATAAAAATATAAAAATTTAGTAATATTGTAATAAATGAGAATGACGGTGTTTGATAATACTATAATAAATGTAGGTGAATAAACAAGAAAAAAATGGTGGTGGAAATAAAAATGAAAAATTTTATTCATACATAAGAATTTATATAAAAAAATATCATAAAAATGTTGTGATAGTAATGTTGTTATAAATATAAATCATGTTTGTAGTGTGTTTTGTTTTAAAGTAAAAGGTCATTATTAAGCTATATCATTGTGTTTGAAAATTTTATATAAAATTTATGTTTGTATATTATCACTCAAAAAAAATAAGTTTAGGTAGAATTTAATGATAGAAAGTTATAAAATGTAGTCATGATCATAAGAAGAAAAAATGGTGGAAAAAAAGACAAAATGGTCATTTAAAAAAATTTAGAACATGCTATCAGAAATTCAGGGAATAATTTATAGGGCAAACTTCACTTTACCCCCTATGGTTAGAATCGGGTGCGAATTACCCCATTCACATTCGGAAATCACCATGTGACCCCCATGTAGTTTGTAGACTAAAACGCACACTAACTTCTATTAACAGATGTTGCAAATTGACAATTATATCCCCATTCATCTTCTTCTCTCTCTCCATTTCATCTTCATCATCTTACATATAGTTCATCATCTTCATCATTTACCAAAATCAAATTTATAAAACAATGCCATCAAATCTGTAAACATCTATCCAAAAAAAACATAAAAATTAGAAGATGGTTTGATCTTACTGAATATGATTTGATCTTCGTATTATCAAAATCAAATTTATAAACAATGCCAATACCGAATCCACCATAATCCAGTGCCAAATCAAGCCCCTCTACCTACCCCAACACCCAACCCCCGTTGGATCATAACCACCAATCCTTCCCCACCCCGCCACCTTTACCACCACGAAATCTACCTTCAAATCCCCCACTGAAATCCACATCGTCAACGAATCAAACCATTGAATCCATTGCAACCATCTGTAGTGAAAAACTATATACACACATCGCATATATAAATTGTTGGGTTGGGTTTCAATGGCTAATGATGGGTGAAGACCACAAATATGTAATTAGAACCCAACCTTTTCTGCTGTATGTATATATATATTTTGAATTTTATCTATATATATATATACTAGCGTATGCCCGTGCCTAAAGACACGATGTAAATAATTTTAAGATTAAAATGCAGTTATAATTTATACGTATTATGTTAAAATTTGTAAAGTTTGTGTCATTTTTTGATAAAGATACTGAAAAAATATATTGAAATATTTTTCTTTTTAAAGAACTTATAACAATTTTGCTTGTATTACACGCTCTACAAAACTCAAATAAAATAACAACTCTCCCTAATCTTAATGCAAATTAAGAAACAAACATATAAGATTTAAAGTTATATTGCATATCAAAATATCAAAGGCAGTAAAAAAAAGTGTAAACACTGAACAAAAAACAGAAATAAAATTATACTGTCATACACCAAAAGAGTAGGTTAAAACTTTACAAAAAGTGGATTAAAGCTTTACAAAAGATGTATGCTTTACAAAAGATGTGTCACTAACATGTCATACACCAAAAATTATATTGTCATACACCAAAAATATGAATGTTTTACAAAAGATGTGTCAATAACATGTCTTCAAATATGGGTTTGCCCAAACTTCCTCCTCATTACTTTCCAAAAAATCTTTGTATCAACTTTTATGTATCCCCAATGAGGAATATACACAACAATCTGGTAATTTGTGGAAACAAAAAAAAATATAGATTAATACATTTGTTGAAAATATACATGTCAAATACTTTCAGATTGAAATTACCTTATTACATCCCCATCGAAGCAAGGTAGTCATATTTCTCCTTTTAAGCTCCATAGATTTTTCGGTCCAATCCTACAAAAGTCCAAATTTCAAATTATTATTAAATTGAAATTTTTAAAAAAATTATATAATCAACAGAAATAAATCTACGTGGTTACCTTCTAATAAAACGTCATTTAATCTGCATAGAATACTACAGTAACACTTCAGGATAAACAATATTTGTAGTAGAATCCAAATTATCTTTAGGGAGGAGAATACTTATACGATCAAAGGATGTACATCTAGACAATGCCACATATAATTGCCCATGGCTAAACACTGGTATATGCAAATCAACCCCAACAAATTTTACAGATTGTCCTTGAGATTTATTAATGGTCAAGGCATATGCCAATCAGACTGAAAATTGACGTCTTGTCATTTGGAAAGGCATTTTTGAAAAAGATGGTGTCAAAGATATCCTTGGTATGAATGCCAAATTGCCAAACTTCTCTCCAGTTAAAATTTGAGCTTCAATTATGCGAGTGCCGCACCTAGTAACCATCAATCTTGTACCATTACATAGTCCATCTTTTGGTGCAATGTTTATCAATAATATTATAGGACAACCCACTTTCAACTCTAACTTAAAAGTTGGCAATCCAGGAGGATCCAATGAATTTAAATATTCATTAGGATATCTATTTGTATCACACTTTAATAAAATTTAAAAGGTGTGATTAAATATCATACATCACACCAAAAAAGTGTGATCTTTATCTGTTTTTGTAGTAGTGGCAGTAGTATTAATATCACTGACATCATCGTTACGCGCAGACAGAATTGTGCATTCAGTTAAAAATGTTGGGGTTGACGTCCCTATCGTATTCATTTGTGGATAAACTGTAGAGAGTAATTCATTCAAATCTTGACATTTGTGTATTGTTGATGGAAGGTTAACGATTTCTTGAGGATTGGTCCCAATCTAAAAAAAAATAAAATCAATAAAAAAGTAAGTGTAAACACAATTTATTAATTTAAAATAATCTATATAATACAGGTTAAAGTAGTGTTACCTCCATCAAGAAATTTGCAAAATTAGCATTTTCATGGCTTTCATGATTCAAGCGCATATTCAAATCCAAAGTCAAGATATATATATATGCTTCCATAGAACAGAGTGTCTTAATGATGCATTCACAATTTGCTCACGAACTCCTTTGGGTATAACTAGTAAGATTTGTCGAAAGTCTTCTCCAAGAACAACAGTAATACTCCCAAATGGCTTTTCACTATCACAAATATCCCTCAATGTACGATCAACCGCCTCAACACAATGTCTTTGTTGCATAGGAACTTCATCCCAAATTATGAGTTTTGTTTCTCTAAATAACTCAGCTTGTAATGATTGTTTGTTAAACCCACAAAGTGAATTTTCCAAGATATCTAACGGAATGGAAAATGTTGAATGTACAATGCGACCTCCTACTAGTAACAGTGATGCAATTCCAGACGAAGCCACAGTAACAACGATATGCCCAAGGCTACGACATTTTAATGCAATCGTATTGTATAGAAATGTTTTCCCTGTTCCTACACCCCTATTTAGAAAGAAAACAGTTCCTTTATTTTGAAAATTTGAAGAAGTGATTGTATTATAAGCATTCCGCTGTCCATTATTGAGACAATCAATAGTAATTTGTGGATTTGCATGTTGTGCCTTACTCTGCAGTTGTTGATGTTCAACTATCAATCGATTACCAACTACTGCACTCCAATTTGCAGTAGGTTATGGCATGGGTGGGAAGTCAATTAAACTTTTGCCTGATTCATGAAGCATTTGATTCAAAAGATGGAGACCATAATCTTCAATTTGAGCCTCAGTTGGTTTAGAAATGACAAACAATGTACAAATCTTATGTGCAAGATCATCACATATATGCGTTGAAAATTGATTCCATAATGCACATGGATTTAGTGGAGAACACTGGGTGAGAATAATACTAAACAATCTCCTCAATTGATATCCAGTTTTTATGACTGCAGCCCCTTTCAAGCATTGTATCCATTCTTCATCATCTTCTAAAAGCCCCCTTGCAACATATGCTAATTTAAATGTATCATGCACAACATTATCGACCGTACGTAAAGACTGCAACGACTTTGGTCCTTTGA